TCATTATTATCAAACCACAGGCTCAGTCCCAAAGACTAATACATTTTAATACAGGGTTAAAATGCGCCACTCCTATAATATACAATAATCCGTGGCACACTGCCATATAACATTATACCATACTAAATGAATATCGTACGGCGTACGGCTTGGGAGAAAAAGGTCTAAAGGCTGTGATATACAGACCAAGGGAACAGAATCTGGGAACGGGAAAGAGCTATATTCACGCTTTACTGACTCACTGTTTGCTGTTGCGTTACCTCAGAATTACAAAGTTCTATCTGACATTACATTTTTGGGACCTTTTGAATTAGAAAGACCATGAGAAAAAAAATCAAAGGCTCTTTCTGCTTTATCAAAATCGTAAGATTATTCGGAGTCGTTATCAAGATATTCAAAGAATTGCGTTCAGAAAAGTTTGACATTATTGTGAAACTCACAATTTATTCACGCCAAATTTGTCAAAACTTGGTACTGTGTAGATAGAACTTTGTACTTCACTGGTAGCGACTGGTTTCATTCATTATCAGGCCACTTCTAGCTTTGGCTATTTAGAGGGTTTTATTTTCCATATATTTGGTCCGCCCCTACCACATCATTCAAGGGAGCTCGTTGTTTATTTTTAAACATTTGTGTTGGAATTGACCCCCATCAAAGACACCACCCAAAAATAATGTTTCGCTAAAATTGAATAAAACCGGAAAGTGTCTAGTATCAAAAGTTCACGGTAATAATGACATATCCAATGAATCGACCTGAGTATACAGCGTTAGTACTTTGACGAAAAGCAGGCAACTCTAAAAGGCACTTATGTAATTTGATGGCCATTTAGGCATAGTAAATCGTTGGTCAGAAACCGGGACGAAACTTGGCTATCCATTCTGGTCACCCAACTTTCATCCTCTCTGATGAGAGATTTAAACTTTAGTCTTTCTACAACTCACTACTCTTTTTATACTCTCTGTCCTTTCCATTCAGACTTAACTTAAAATTTTAAAGCTATATCTAACAAGTTTATCGATTTTCTTTTTTTTCTTCTAAATTTTGCATGAATATTGAAGTAGATTTTTGAAGGTGAGATTTTTAAATGATCGTAAATGTTTCACACCCCCACTGGACACAACATAGGAGGTTGGCTGCCTCCACCCTACTAGTCAGCTTCAATTCTGGCTGGGTGGGATACATATTATTATCTGCACGACTGATAGAATCACTCGATAAGTGAAATCCTCCCTACGAGAATCGAACTTAAATCCTCTGAGTGCCCGGGAGAAAGACCTAACTGTTATACCACAGACACCGGATCACAAGAAAGAATTGTGAATACAGACGATGTAGTTACAAAAGTGTAATGTCTTTTTGTTCTTTTTGCGAGACAAGCGTAATGAGACCCATTTTTTTCCGCAGACACAGCTTTCTGTGATTTGGACCCACAGTGGTGAGTTATCTCCCTTCCTTTCTCTCTGGTCGGTTTTGACTTAGAGAGGAGATCGATACCGTAGTCGGTAACCGCACGGCGAGTCTCAATCAGCGAGGGGTCATCATATTCCCCAAGATCCATTATTCAAGGTCAAGACCATCTCTTTGCCTCGTAGCGGCTCGCCCTTTCCAACTTTTCCAAGCCCCATTTCTTCTTTTGATCAACGACATAGTTTTCAGAAGATGAGGGGATGAGACTCTCTGAGATGCTTGTTTTAACTCGGAGTTATTTTTCTTGTGTGTGTGTGTGTGTGTGTGTGTGTGTGTGTGTGTGTGTGTGTGTGTGTGTGTGTGTGTGTGTGTGTGTGTGTGCGTTTGTTTGTGCGTGCGTGTATGTGTATGTGTGTGATCGAGCATGTGTGCGTGAGTGAGTATGTTTTAGGTTGGTGTGTGCCTGTGCGTGTGTGTATGTGTGTGTGTGTGTGTGTGTGTGTGTGTGTGTGTTTGTGTGTGTGTATGTGTGTGTGTGTGTCTGTGTGTTTGTAAGGGGGTACTATTAACAATACAAAAAAAGATTTTGAAAGAACTGCAAGGCAAAGCAGTGACAGCACATGCCCATAGAGCGCATACAGGATATAGTTAAACGAACAAAAGGATAATATAGAAAAATATATCAAAAGAAGGGAATAATCTGTTCATAACAATCCATTTATTTATGAATCTCCTTGACACCTGGATAGTAGTGGGAACAGAAAAAAACAAAACAAAACGAAAGACTCCCACTATGTATATATGCAAATTTTCAAGAAAATTTCTGATGGTGAGAATCATTAGCCACATTCCTCATAAATTACTGCCGAGCCACTATAAATACGAGTATTACTCTTTTTGTGGACATTCTGGGTTTTTTTAAAACCAGTCGAATACAACTCTACATGTCATCTTTGTACGAATTTGCCTCTGCTTTCCAAGAGCAAAAAAAAAAAAAAAGTAACAAACCAGTTACGAATAAAACAAAGCAAAACAGAATTTGATAGATAGACTTGATCAGCCCCCCCCCCCCGAAAAAACACAACAAAAATACAACCCCAGCAACAACAAAAAAACCCAATCCCCAAACAAAACAACAACAAACAAACAAATAAAATAAACAAACAAAAACCCCACCATACGCACGCATATCCAAACTTTCATGACATTACTCAAAATCGAGTCGATACCGAGAACCACGAAACATTAGAAAGTAGAAAGAACACGAGATGAAATATTCAACTTAACAGATTAATTACTGCTCTTCCATAGGCCCCCCCCCCCCTCTTTATTTTATTGAGATACCTTAAAGAAAAACAACTGAAAAAAGTGGCATTTACACTTACAGCTAAGAAATAGAAATGTGTATCTGAGGGATATGAAACCGTAGCCTTAATTCACCGTAATACCCAAACCGACTCTCCAGAGGGTGAACTGAGAAAAGATGTAAACTCAAGTGCCAAACGTTCGGAGTATTCAACCTGTCAATGCTAACGTACTCGGGGTGGAGTCTTCTTTTATGTCAGGGTATTTGCTATGAGTTTAATGTCTCAATTAGTAGCATGCTTGGCTAAGATACTGGGGAGCTGGTTCGAATCCATAAGTTGTGCAATGCAATACAACGCAATGCAATGCAATGCAACACAACATAACACAATACAATATAACACAATACAATACAACACAACACAATACAATAGGCGTGCCGAGTATAGCGTTATCTTGTTCCCTTTATTACCTTTATTACCTTACCTTTTTCCGAGTGAGTGCCAGAAAGTCAAGGAATAGGTTTTGAGACAGTAATGGATATTTTTATCTAATGCATTTCTTTTCCGCAGTTATCTTATCGGTACTCCCCTCTCCTTCCCATGAAGGAGGTTAATTCACTCTACCATCGCTAATGCTACTTGAAAGATAAAATATATAATGTTTTTACCAGATGTTGGTGTGTCTTTTGATGAGTCGTTAAGTGTTCCTTTTATCTACATTCTAGCAAATCATGAAAAGAATTTTGATGCTGAAATATAAATGAAATAATTATTGTTTTAACGACCACTGTGCGCGTTCTATTACGCAAAGAAATGAAGTAAAAACGGAAATGATGCACTGAACAAAGTGTTTATTTTTTTTAATCCCCAGGGTTTTGGGTGACTAGGGAAGGGAAAAAAGCGCATAACGACCATAATCACCAGCCCCCTTATGCATTGACGTCTTGGTTTAATTCTTTGACGACGTGCATGGTTGTTTTAGGTCACAGTGAAAAAAAGTTTAACTTCTTTTTTTTAAAACAGAGTTTTTAATTTTGTTTTCTGTATCTGAAACTCAAAAAGGCAGGCAATGACCTTCATTCTAAGAAATATGCAGATTCGTTTTTCTGATTCGTGTATGATGGTTCAAAAAGTGCTTTGACATTGCCTTTGGTCAGCTGCTAGTTGGACATATTATTATGCGCCCGCTGCCTCATTATAGAGTTACCGTTCCTTTCACATTCACAAGTCGGTAGGTTTACTTTTCAGCGTTCACGTCTTTAACTAAGTCAAGTGAATGGAGAATCTTTAACCCCCGCGCCCCCCCCCTTCCAAAAACACATGTCACATACATACCACCACCAAAACAACACCATCAACAACAAAAGATCCAACATATTTCAACTAGATTACTTGGTAAGGGATTCGAACTGGAATCTTGAATGCCTCACTTCAGTGTTCTCGGGACACTCCGGGTAGCCCAAGAGTACGGGTTTGTTCTGAAAGGCAAGATCGAAGCAGTCGGCTTTCTAAATTGTGCCAATGGGATTGTTAAACATAATTATCCAAGAGGGTAACGCCAGAGACTTGATTTAACTTTCATTCCTTCCCTTTCCTTTATTTTATTCATATGCTGGTACCAGTGAGTGCCACTATGAGAAACACTTGTCACTTAAATTCCAAGTCCAGTGGCTTGGAAGAGGATTTCGTTGTGGGTTCTGAGAGTGTCCTTTGCAGAGTCGACACAGTGATGCCTTGGTCTCGTCTGTTGCTCTAGCTGGAGTATTTTGTGTCGCAGGTCGCAGTGCGGGTTGGTCTGGCGAATTTTTAAAATATTTATCACCAGTCCTTACAGGGTCAAGCTTCTTGGACTGACAGCTATAATAACTCATCAAATATCTTAAGTCTAGAAAAGCCCCATCGAGGATTCGAACATGGATAGACAGCATCACAGTCACACATAATGAGTGCTGATCTGAGTGCGAATCTTGACAGACCCTTGCTGTTGATGAGGATAGTCGTAAACGCACACCTTCTCCATCTTTTTTTTTTTAGTGAGATGTTCTCAGAACACATTTGTGTCCCAACGCGGTGGAGTCAGGTATTCGTCAATTTTTGGGCATGTTGAGAGTATCGTCTTTAAGATATTCGTTTGTCTTGCTTTTATGAAGAAAATACTTAGATATTTGCCATTGAAAACGATGTGGTCACTTGGTTTCAGAGGTAAAATTAGCGAGAAAATGGCAGCCAAAGGAAACATTTCATGTTTTGTTCCTTTACTCAATGTTTTTCTTTGAAATCCACACAGAAATGTGTTTTTAAATTGATTATAACGATATTGAGCTAAAAACAAAAAAATCGATACAAATTCCTAAACCTGCAGAATAATGCCAGTTTCTTTGACAAGTGTCTGATTTCACCACGATGCTTCACATTTGTATTATGTATTATCGCCAGGGACAATTTATTAAAAAAGGAAAATACAGTCGAACCTGTTCGGACGACCACCTGTCCAAGACAATTATCTGTACAAACGACCACTTCGAACAGCCCTGGTGATTTTTTCTGTTATAATGACAGTTCCTAGAGAACCGTTTGTCTATAAGGTTCACTCCCTCCCCTCCCCCCCCCCCCCCCGACTATTGAAGGTCGTCTTGGATGAGTCAACTGTACATGAATTGGCACTGTGACTTTTGGAAAGTCGACAAGGCAACAGCCTAACTAAAGCTAAAGACACACGACTTTTTGATTCACTATACCCATGTCTCATTGGTTCTCATATGTCTTATAACTTTCTTTCCCTCTTCCTATCAGGGGCAACATCATGAATTTCTCCCACATAGATGGCACGACCATGGCTCCGGTCCTCAACCCCCCGTCCCCCACAGGCTTCATCACAAACGCCGAGGTCAAGCTGGTCAGTGGCTTCAATAGCATCCCGTTGTTGCTGTGCTGTGTCTTCGGTATCCCAGCCAACGCCTTGACCATCCGCGCCTTCCTCAGACTCGGCGCTCGTGACAACGCTAGTATCTCCTTTCTACACATGGCCGTCTCCGATATGCTGCATAACTGCACTATTGTGATCCGCGTCTGCACCGAGGTCCTGGGTCTTTTAAAGCGGCGAGCAGGAGTCAAACTAGCTCTACCATTATTACCCTTCATCGTGGTCAACTTGAACCTCAGAGAAATGTTTCTCACAATATCTGCGCTGACTACTACTTTCTTAGCTATCGCTAGGTGTATGGGCGTAGCGAGACCGCTTCAGTTTAAGGACATGTTCACCCGACCACGTACTATTATCCTTCTTGTCCTTTTCGATGTCTTTTCTTTTGCGAGTTTCTTTCCTGTTATCTGTACGGTTGGCATCGTTTATATCTGGAACCCTAAGACAAACACCAGCAAAGCCGCGACCTGGTTCGCTGAGGGCAGGGAGGAGGCGGGACGCTACGTGCACTCTCTGGACTTTGTGTTGCCCTTGATCACTGAGGTCATCATCATCATGTGTTTCGTAGTTATGGTGATCAAGCTGAAGGAAGCGTCAAGGTTTAGAAAGGCGTCTCAAAGTGCTGGGGAAAAGGAATCGGGTAAGATCAGAGATATTACTCAGACACTGCGTAAGTGTGTGTGTGTGTGTGTGTGTGTGCGTGTGTGTGTATGTGTATGTATGTGTGTGTGTGTGTGTGTGTGTGTGTGTGTGTGTGTGTGTGTGTGTGTGTGAGAGTGAGTGTGTGTGTGGGTGGCTGGGTGTGTGTATCTTTCCCCCTCTCTCTTTCCGGCAATCTCTCTCTCTCATACATACACACATGTACACACAGGCACACACACACAAACCCACACACACACACTCACGCACACTCACACACGTCACATTAATACGCCCAGCGTCTCCTTCTCTCCTGCCCCCCCCCCCTCCCGCCTTCCCTCTCTCTCTCTCTTTCTCTCTCTCACAGGCACACACAAAACTCATGGCTCATGAGCACACCTACATACACACACACCTTCTCTATATCTCAATCTCTCTTTCTTTTCTCCGTCATTCTCTCTGTCTCTCTACCTCTCTCTCTCCCTCTCCCTCTCCCTCTCTCTCTCTCTCTCTCTCTCTCTCTCTCTCTCTCTCTCTCTCTCCCTCTCATTCCCCGCGTCTCTGTCAAGCATTGTACTCCACTGTATATTAGACTACGGTATTGAGATATAATTTCGGAAACCTCTACCGGAAGAAATTCAAACTGGAGCCCTTTAATCATGTCCTGGCCCTTTCCCTAAATGAGCTGGGGGTTTGCCATAGAATCTTAGTGAAGAATGTCAAGTATTCAGGAATTAATTGTCAGAGATTTTTGGTGAGTATTACCTTTCGGGCGATGTTCACTCTCTCACTTTGATGTTTACGATGCTGGCACTGACGCACCATTAGACGGACGAGTGATTAGGCAGATGCATTATATTGGTGCTTGGATGAGTTCACGAACTCATAGATAGATCAAGGTAATGTGATAGGTGAGAGAGAGAGAGAGAGAGAGAGAGAGAGAGAGAGAGAGAGAGAGAGAGAGAGAGAGACAGACAGACAGACAGACAGACAGACAGATAGACAGATAGACAGACATAAATCTATCTATTTATCTATCTCTCTATTTATCTATCTATCTATCTATCTGTCTATCTATCTATCTATCTATCTATCTATCTATCTATCTATCTATCTATCTATCTATCTATCTATCTATCTATCTATCTATCTATCTATCTATCTATCTATCTGTTTTAATGTAACATACTGTATCTTGAAAAGTAGGTTTCCTTTTTGAATTCATACATATAGGATTCTGTTGTCCCCAGAGAACGCCAAAGGTTCAGGCCTGTCTAGCAAAGAGGTGGCAGTGCTGCAACAAGTCTCCCTCGTCTGCTTCATTTACATCTCTCTGAACTCTGCCAAAGTTATTACAGCCATCGTCACATTCGTTGTTCCTGGCTTCAGCCTGGGACAGCGCTACACGAACCTGTACAGTACGTTCCATGAGATCAGGATGCTGTTTGAGACGCTGTGCGCGTCCGTCAACTTCATCATTTACTACAAATACAACGCCAGATTCCGAGAAGCCTGCGGGATTGGAAGCTCCAATTCTGTCCACGGCGAGCTTTCTAATAAAGAAACCAGTGTTGTGACGAAGAGTAAATAAATTAGAAAGACCTTAGAAAATTTTAGATAATTGATCGATTGAACCCCTCCGCCCAAATGTCAGAACGAAGAATTATGTACTCACCCAAGAGTTTTGTTTTAATTTACGCTTCTGTCCAAGACATAATGATTTCGTTGTCTGAATGCGAAATGAAACCGTTATCGCTGGAACCCGATGTATGTATGCATGTGTGTATTTTCCCATTCAGACCCCTGTCCGAATAAATAAAAAAGAAAAAAATCCAGCACGCTAAATCTCCTCTGCCACTGTGACCGCATCACCATTCAATATTATCCACAAAAACCAAGTAATACATGATAAGCAAAGACAACGAAAGCAGTCACAAAACTGAAGTAAAAAATCTATAATATGTAAGAACAGTCGAACGGATCACACTTCAACAAAACAAACATACCGTTCAAGCATACGATCTACAGCACCATGAAAAAAACCTGTATCATTATTACCAGCAGAGATGTCATCAAACCAGAAACAGTTGCAACAACAGCAGCAACAACAGACAGAAATAATAAATGGAGCTGCAAAAAAAGTGGAACATCATCAAGAACATCAACACACAAGAACTGCAGAGGCCGTTGCAACAACAGCAACAAATACAGTATGGATATCAGAAGAAGTTGCAACCACGGCGGTAACACTAACAACAATAAAAACAGCATCATCAACAACAGCATCAGCAATGCCAAGAGAGGTTGTAACCTTTACAAAAACAGCGATCGCAACAACGAAAACAATTGCTTGTTATTGTTGTCACCGAAACGAAAAAGGTTTGAAAGAATACTGATTGTCATTAGAAACACACAAGGGCCATTAAAATAATTCCATCTTCCTTCCTCCTTTGCCGTCATCGTTTCAGAAAATGAACAAATGTGTTAAGCATTACATGTATCTTGACGCAGGTCATGTCAGAGTTAGACAGTGTGCACGCCTGAAGTTATCACGTCACCAGTTTGGAACTGTATGTGCGTCATTGTATTTTATGTGAGTGTTTGTGTATGTGTTTGTGTGTGTGTGTGTGTGTGTGTGTG